AAATGTCAGGCACATTAAATAAAGAGCGAGAGGGAGAAGCACCCAGATGATTGGGTTTATTAAAAGCTTTCTTGTCCCGTACCACAGCCCGATGATTGATCTCCTTTGACGTGTCCTTTTACCCTGTGTCACATTAATAAACTATGTCTCTGCTGAGGGACTGGCAGACTGCCTCACAGGAGAGACACAGAGGAAGGGGAGGAAAGAAAGCTTACAAGCACCTGTGGGGATGTCCCGTATTGCTTTATGGCTGATCATCATGTCAGAAGGGTTGATTCAAGATATTCATCACATACAATATAACAGCAAACTCTATTATTTTGACATAATCCTACAATTCTTGGGCAAAGCACGTTTTTGAAACAAATGTAAAAAAGTGAAACATATAGGCTTAAATGGGAACTAGGACGTGATTGCTTGAGGTTTCCTTCCAGCTGCTTTACACAAGATAACGTCAGCTGTTTTTCCTGCTTGTGCTTTTACACTACTTTAGAATCAGTGCTTACAAAAACAGAAACATGGAAGTGCAGCTTGGACTGTTGGTGCAAAGGGCTGCAATTTATCAGTGACTTGTCGGTCCATTCAGCAATTTTTATTAAAAGCACTTTAACTAGCATTTTATTTAACACCGCACTTTAGGCATAGAGTTGCACACCAATAACTATTTGCACAAAAGAAGTTTATTTATTGGATATTTATTGAGTAGTTTAATAATTAGCAGGTAGCCTTTTGTTCCAGGGCCTGCATAGCTGCTCCTCATTGAGACGTGTGGTGGTTGCCCTGGAGGGGTAAAGAATTGTTATGGGGAGCAAATAAGGTCTACTGTTTAGTAAAACTTAGGCAAAGGTTTATGTGTGAAGTCTAGAGGTAAAAGTTTTGATGTAAAAAGTCCTCTGTGACCTCTCCAGGCTGTTTGGGCAAATGCTTTCCCAGGAGTCCGGACATCGTTTAAAGGTTCCAGGAAAGCCGATGGGTTAAGAAAGTGTGGGGAACGTGTTCTTTTGGTGTTTTTATGATGGTGCTGAGGTGTAAGGTTAAAATATATCATAGTTTTCATTGTTATTAGAAAATTGTACAATGTATATGTTTATTTATGAAAGTGTGGGTTGTCTATAGATGGTGGAATATTGGAATTTGGTAAACTCACCTGTGAGTAAATAATGGTTTAGTCCTTTAACAGATAAGAGTATTTAAGGCTGCCATCTGTCCTTAGACAGTGTGTGCGCTGTGTTACTGTTGGAAGGCCTGACCTGCCCTTAATTGTCTGTGGAGTTATAGCATATGTAATGGTAAATGGTCTGTATTTGTATAGCGCTTTTACTAGTCCCCTCTAGGGACCCCAAAGCACTTTACACACCCAGTCATCCACACACACATTCATACACTGGTGGAGGCGGCTACAGCTGCCCTGGGGCAGACTGACAAAAGCGAGGCTGCCATATCACGCCATCGGCCCTTCTGGCCAACACCAGTAGGCGAAGTGTGCCCAAGGACACAACGACCAAGACTGTCCGAGCCGGGGCTCGAACCGGCAACTTTGCGATTACAAGGCGAACTCCCAACTCTTGAGCCACGATCGCCCCAGCATGTGGACAAATAAGCACCTCTTGCCTCTGCTACTCTGCCTCAGCCTTCATCTCCACCTAAATCCAGCCCAAAAGGTTGCTTTGTTACACTTTGCTTCAAAAACAAAAGATATTCTAAAAGGGGGGACATCAGGGCTGTGAAACTTTCAAGTATAGTAATGCCATGACAGATGTCAAGGACATGTGTGCTGCCATTTTCAACACTTAGCATAAAAAAAGCGTCATGAAGCGTCATGTCAATATCATTGACTGTAGGGTATAAAAGATGGAAATAGGCTCCATGATCTCTGTTATATGTTTAAATACTTGCTAACTTGCGTTTTTGGAGCCAGAAAGGTGCAATTCACCAAAACTGGAGCACAGCAGAAAGCCTTACAGAAAGCTACCATCGACAGCCACATGTGCCTGCACCTGCCATTTACAGCAGCCAAGATGCTAATGAAGTTGTGAATTTTTTGAATTAAATTAGATCAATTAAAGGGATCAAACATGCAAGAAATACTTGCTTTAAATGTAGGCACTTTATCAGGAGCATCTGTGGGGTTTGATTCGCAGCCAGGAACTGCAGTTTTTGACACGTCTGTGCCGGGTTCATTTTTCAGCCCTTCAGTTTGCTGCTTGGCACGTACACTCAACACACAATCTCCAAATGCTTTTTGCAGCAAGTTACAATCTGATCTGTCTGCACTTACTGGCTTGCCTGAGACTCCACTGATAGCCGCGAGTATTACTTACAACACCAACTGAAAAAAAACATACAGATGGCTGATAAAGGCAGTGAGTATAGTTTTGTATTTTCACAACAATGTAAATATAACTCCCGCACACTGTCTCACTTACTGCATTAGGACTCTATAAATCTAGCATGCAGGAGGGCCTTTTTCTATTCAGTTTGTTACTACATGATCTAGAAAGCCTACTGTCAATTTTTAAGTACATAAAATCAAGAAATAACCACCAAAAATAAAACCATGAACAGCACATCTTGAAGAAACAGATTCTGAGTTGTCTGGTTCTTGTTTTAGGTGGTTAAAAGGGTAGAAAACGAGTCTGAATAATTTCAGTTCCAGAGACCTGAGGAGGCAGAAGCTGGGCTCTATTTCCTGTTACGCATCAAAGAAGTGAAAACAATCCTGAGGGAATAGCGTCAAAAACAACAGAGAATTACTTCGGA